AATGCATCTTTAGACTTCCCTTCTTCAGTTGAGTGCGGGTCCCTTCAAGAAGGTACCTGCCACACAATCCAGAGCAGAGTTAGGTTCTAGAATTGAAGATTTTAAGAAGGAAATGTTTTGAAAACATGAAGTTGAATAAAGTCTGTCTGTATGCTAAAAGAACCGTGTTCAATTTACTACATTTGTTACTGGGAGTTAAATTAAAAGAAATTCGTCCACACACATTGAAATATGAGTGTAGGATAACAATAGTATACAAGCCCAGCAAGTCAGTGAGACAGAGAAGACTGTTGAAAGAAGCAAGAGGTCAGTAAAACTGGCAAAAGAGCACCAATCATTTATTACACTCATTGGTGAGCTCTGCTATTAGAAAATCTCCTGGTCATTGGTGAGACTAGTTCCTGCTCAGTTCATAGGGAAAATCTAGATTGAAACCTCAAACAGAGAAAAAGAAAAAAGACAAAGAAAAGCAAATCTAACGTCAAAAAAAGAAAAAGCCAATGCAAGAAACCAAAACAAAAAATGAAACGCTAAGAATAAATTGAGGTGAACTAATGGCAGCCTGCCTAGCAATTGAGATGATAAATAAATTAAAGAAAGCGCAAGACTGAAGTCATTGCACCACATTCTTTTGGACAGACTCAAAAGTCACTCTAGATAGGATTTACTGATACAATCTTTCTCACCTTTCTGAGGATTCTACGGAGAATCCTCCTGCCAAGTTCCCCGGTGGATTGTGCTGTATTTTTTATTTCTACGTTTTTGTCATTTGTCTTTCTTTGTAACCTTTGTTAGCTTACAATATTTCTGGAGGGGCAAAGATCTGATTGCTATAAACAACTGTTATCCATTATTTTAGTGAAGCGGCAGCTGACGCTGGCTTCATAGTCTGTGGCTCTCCTTTCTTTTTCTTTCTTTCCTCATCACCAGCCCAATCTGGCCATGAGGTTATAATGATAAGATGGCATGCATAGGGCGGATCATGCACATTTTTGATTTTGAGGTCAGTGAGCCAAGCAGCCCACTGTCCTCTTGCATGTGTGTGTTTATACAATGTCATGTTGGTGGGCCAGCCAGAAAGTTGTTCAACCTGCTGACTCGTAAACAAGTCTACAGATGAAGACCAATTCCAACTGGAACATATACTCATAATTTCAATCAAGCAATGCAATTCTTGAACTGTCTTTACCATACAAATACATGCACAATCCAAAAAATTAAAATATCATTAATATGGCAATCAGCGTATGACACATAAAATAATCTAAAATACTATTCACATCAAAAATTAGTATTCTTCAGTGGGGCATCTTTTATCCCCCACATTGGTTTGATAAAACGGTCTCTCAAACGCGAAGAATGAAACGGGGGAAAACCGGAGAAGGGGAACCTGGAGCTGCCCCGGAAACGGGTTTTCGGCGGCGCGGCAGGTAAAAGCCAGCGTAAACGAGTCTCACTACCATATTTCATGCTCTCCTTTTGCACGGTTTCCGGAAACATCGCCACAACAGAAAGTTGGCGGGTATAAGTTGTTCCATCATTGATTCCAGGTTTCCACAAATCGAAAACTTTGGCTGCCTTCATCGCAGCCGTACGGGCGCGCGTGGGACGACGACGACTTCTTTTCCATCTTCACCACCCGCTGAGCTTCTCCCGCCTCATGCTCAGGTTCTGAAATAAAACGGTTCAAATAAATTCTGTTCCATACTGGTTATCATCATAATGAAGCAACCATGGACATAATACCAAGGCCCAACAATAACCGAGCACTCATTCACACGTACGCTACAAATACTTAAACGGGATACTTTTTCGAAATTACCCGTCCTTTTTTCTATCGTCTGGCACTTGATTATCTTTTATCCCACTCCGTTACGTTAGGTTACCCTAATAATTAGGACTACATTATTCCCACATAAAATTTACCTTGGCTGGCACTGATTTCCATCAGTGCCGGAGTTAGATGATGATGACCAACGGCGGTGATTTTTTCATGACCCTGCACAGGCGCGGCGGCAGTTGCGATGAACTGTGTGGCACTCATGGTGCCTGGTGCGGCTGCCAGGGTGACATATCCCACATTAGGACCAACGGCAGCGATTGCTCCATTTGGACTTCGTAATAGGCGCAAAGTTCCATTCGAGGTGGCTATAGCAGTCGCTCCTGCAAATAAAATCTCTCTTTCATATCTTCCGAAAAAATCACGGAGCCCAGGGAAGATTCATCTGACGATGAACACAACACTGAGCTCAAAGGTACAGTAATTTCTTTCCCAAAAAAAAATTTGAACATGTGCGGCACAATAGAATTCACACATCACCGCGGGTTTCACGAACCAAACGTACACCGTAGGGCAAAATAAAAAATTCAACAATACAGCCGGCAATGCTAAGGTATCAACTTCGCCAGAAAACTTGCCTGGCACTTGATTAACACGTGGCGGTTCCCTAAGGTAAACCTTGCCCTACTAAAGCTACCAAAGGCTGCTCGCGTGTGACCTGTTCTAGAACCTGTACAAGAGGTTTAGTTGCAGCTGAACGCAGCGGAACAGCTGGAACATGCCACGAATGGGGACGTTGTGCTGCTCTGCCGACACATCGGTCGGCATCGTGAGATGAATCTTCATCGATTTCGGAAGTTTTTGCTGCGCCAGTGCAACAGATTGCCGCGGAATACGCCGATAATCGATGACTTGCATGCTCGTCAACGGGTTTATACAAGCGGATTGCTCCAGTTTTCACTTTAGACCCACGATTGCTGGTAATCCATCTCTTCCCCAGAGAAATTCGCCAATTCAGCGCAAAAATACTCCCCCGATTTAAAACTTGCGTCCGCTGTTTTACGCATTAAAATGCCTCGCAAAAACGGGTTATCTCGAACAACTTCAACATTTAATTGCAGCCTCAGGCGTGCGCACTACACAAAAATTGATCTAAATTCTCAGGAGGAATTCTGGTTTCTGAATGATGGAAAAAAGCATACATGAACGAGGGTGATCCAAGAGTGAATTATCCTTCCACTGCCTTTTCACTACTTGCTAGCAAAACTCATCGCACTCATGTTCAACCTGTCGGCTGCATTAATTCTGCAGTGGCATTTCGTTGGCTGGCCCTTGCGGCTCTTCCAAATGACTCGATCGACGTTTCTTCGAGTCATTGCTTCAATAACAACGACAAAATACATGCTTTCAACATACTAACACACGCCCAAAGCCGTACCATGCACGGTTCGATCAATCAAGAAAAGCGGGAGCTATCCTCTCTAGTTCCAGAGATGTTTCCTTCGCGATATCGGATGAACCATCCACCAGATCGTTTAAATACATTCGAATGATGATAATTCCACCAAATCAAGCTCGAACAGAGTCTCTTATGGGTCCCGAATTGGAATGGCTGCGCAAGTGTCCACCACCAAATAAGAGTTGAGAGCAGTGGAGGGACTTCGACACCAGGCTTCAGTTACACGTCATCCATATTCATCCTGGGCACACACACTTGTCAGTAGAAATGGTTCAAGAGTAAAACACAACCTTCAACGTCAAGAGCTCATAATGATCTGGCTCCTATTTGTCTTGCCCTGCCTGCCACACCGGCTCCTCCAAGTTCTCCCCCTGATCCTGGAGTTGATAATGGGGACGCCAGTGGGAGATTGGTTGCGCATTGCCACGGTTAAGGGTAGGTGTCGCCGCCGAGGTTGAGGATGAGTCCTTTACTCCTTACTATGGAAATACCTCCGCGGAAAAGCCCACTGGGGATGTCACATAGATCCAAAGTCTGCCTCATGTGCCCAGACATTATGGTACACATTCCAACTCAATGCCACTGACTTCCATGTTGCCCTCCTAAGGGCTGTTCCCTTCCACTCTGCCCTTCTACAAAGCCAGGAATGAGTGACTTCATGAACTGCTCATGCTTGCAGATAGGAATTATATACATGTTGAAGAAGGATGTAGGAAGATAACATACTATTCAATGCATGAACTTGCAGCATTCTTAATGTTTTATTATCATTATTTTATGAGAAATTTTTATTACCCGTGCATAGAGTGGAAGTAATTTCTGTTTTAAATACAAGATGCTTGAAATGAAGCAATGAAAAAAATGTTGTATTATACTCCTTGTCTACATTTGAAAACACAAAAGTTCTTGGTATATACTGAATAAACAATACATACATTTAGAATAATATACTGTGCCTTGTGGAAATTTTAGAAAACCCCTCAGAACAGCATCTTTAAAATTGCTGATTGGCCATATAGTTCCTGAAAAGAAGACATTACACTAGGCAATTAAAACTGTTGGGGGGATGGTTTCTGAAAAGAGAAGACATTTGAGGGAGCAATTTGCAATACTGTAGTTACAACCTCTCCCACCCCCACTATCCTCCTCCACCATTGAGCAGTGACTAGGTTTCATTTTATGTGGATGTGGGATAGATCATTTGCACAAATGTGGGAAACTCAATGGAACACTTGGCATTTAATCCCTCCTTCATAATCTAAAATGGATGACCATGGGTATGGCTTTTTTTTGCTGAGTAAGCCTGTTTAATTGCAGATGTATGGTTATCTTTTTTGCTCACTCATGTTGAAATGCAGAGAATAAAGACACGAAGTTGAAATTCTAACTCATCCCTGTGGATAATTAAGGATCACCTTAGGGCTGCAGTTGATTGTTTCATGCAGGCAGTCAATGTTGCAGAGGTATTCAAAATTATTTTAAAGATTTCAATTGTGATAGTGCCCTTAGCCTGACAGTCATGTTCTGGCAAAAAATATTAGTTGGGTTAGTGAAACTTCATGTGACCCAGGAATTTTGATTGTTTAGCAAGAAGTTGCCATAGTTGAAGCTTCAATTGAAGAAATTATATGAAATTTGACCAAGGACCTGAAATCTATATAGAGTTTGATCACATGTAGTGTATGGGAGGACTCTGACTGTGAAACTTTGATGCCCAAACAATATTATTTCAAGGATCTCACGAAATTTTTTGAACCAGCATTCAAACAGTATTTCAAACTTCATTATGTTCAGCTATTGTGCATGATGTGATGTTGTTTCCCCCTTTTGTATAATTCTCGTCGATGACAGGAATATAATCGCGAGTATTCATGGCTCAGAGTAATATAAGCTGATGATGAACACAAAGCATTTGCACTATTCTTGCTGCTGCTGCGGCTCCGAAATGAGCGAGGGCACAAGAGCATATAGTGCAGTACTGTACTAAAGTGCAACTTGGTGTTTTCGGTTTGTTGTCGTCGTCGTCGTCGTCTGCAACATGCACCCAACAACAGCATCATCAGGAGCAGCAACAGCAGCAAATAAGGAAACGGCTACACTCGGTTGTTGTTGACATCCGACGACGATAATGGCGGGGGAATCAATAAGTCTGCCACGGGCTCCACCGCTGTTTCTGCAATACGTATAATGAATCAGGTACAGTACAGTGCTTTTTGTTATTGCAGGAGAAACAAGCTGGAGACGACACTATACTGTGTATACAGTGCTGAAATAAGGAACTATCTTTTCTGAATTTCAACTCAAGTAATATATATAGCAAGCAATGTCAAGTACAGGTGAACCTCTCAAAGTCGAATTTCTATAGGGACCAGGAAAAAAATTTGACTTACAGAGGTTTTGATTTTTTGAGGAAAGGAAACAAATATCTTTGCTGCAAAGAAAACGGGAAATTGTAGATGACGATATTCTGGGCCTAAACTTGCATCTTGATGAGTTTACAGCTTGCTGAGCTTGTGGGAAGGGGTTCATTTGTTCAATTATAGTACTTCACTTGATTTCAAAATGCATAAAATAATTTGTTTTTTTATTTTCTTGAACATATTTCAAGGAAATAATGACCCAAAGGCCTCAGAAAATTCAACTTACAGAGGTTCAAGAGAAAGCTACTTTGCGTTAGGGAGGTTTTTAATGCATTGTTTCTATGGGAATCCAGACATGGACTTGAAGAAAATTCAAGTTAGGGGGGTATTTGACTTAGGGAGGTTTGACTTAGCAAGGTTCACCTGTATTTCCATTTTACCACATAATGTAATGTACTGTACATATTAAGTCAAGTGAAAATGAGTGATTGATGGCTGCAACTGTGCCAGTTCTTGCAGTTTCATAACATTATTTAATTCCATTAAAGCCCGGAAAACGCCATCAAAACAGCTATATACTGTATAGGGTGGATAGTGCTGTATATATTTCTTTTTTTTATTATATTTAAACAGAGCTAAGAGTATATGGTCTTGGGGTGGTCTTTGCTCTTATTGATGATTTCATTCAAATACTTCCACCAAATTGCATCTTTCTTAATTGCCCTCTTCATGTGATTCTCTTCAATAAACTACAGGTGAACCTCCATGAGTCAAACCTCCCTCAGTCAAATTCCTCCCTGAGTCAAATTTTTTTCAAGTCCCTGTCTGAATTCCCTTAGTATCAATACATTAAAAACCTCCCTAACTCAAAGTCTTTTTCTATAAAACATCTGCAAGTCTTCAAATTTTCTTGATTCATGAAAGATTAAATGATTAAAGCAAATAATTTGATGCATCTTGAAATGAATTGAAAGACAAATACTGTATAGCAAATAAACCACTACCTCCAAGTTCAGCAAGGTGTACCCCATCAGAATATCCTCATTTATGATTTCCCACATTTTTTTCACTTCTCACAACAAAAGTGTTTGTTTTCTCAACTGGAAACCTCAAAAAATAAAAACCTCCGTATAAGTCAAATTTGTTTCCTGGTCCCTAGAAATGTGACTCAGAGAGGTTGAACTGTATGATGAACAACATAAACTGTATTTACTCAAGTACCATGCACCCTTGAGTAAAGGCACAGAGGGGTTTTTCTGTTGGAAATTTGGCTAAAATCTTATACCCAACTACCCAAGTAACATGCACACCCAAATTTTTGGTGAATCTAAAACCCCAAAATTTCCAAAAGAAATTCTAAAAATTTGACTTTAGACATGAATTGAACAAAAATTGGATCAATTTTCAAATTTTTCAGTACAAAAGAGTTTTCTTGTTACATTTGTTCAAAATTTCTCAGTTACAATGAAGTATAATGCACACATAACTTCCTAAAACTTCTTGAAAAATGTGTACCTGTTCATTATATGTACACCCCTTTTTTTTCTGAAATTTGAGAAAAAATAAGGTCCTGGAGTAAATGCGGTATATACACTATGCCTAGAAATATAATACAGTACTTCATCTGTGACTGAACAGGAATTCCTTCTATGGCACTAATAGTAGTGAGCGAGTTATTGGCATTAAATCCGGGTTTACCGCATTATTATTATTATTATTATTATTATTATTGGCACTCTATAGTGAAAAGCGAGGGTTATTCATTGGGTGGACTGATGACGATTAACAGTATGGATATACTGTGGACAGATTGGGTATCGTTCGTATTTACCCTCGTAGACCCCCAGCTGGGACTCGGCCCTGGCCTCGCCCAACTTGTTGGTGGCCACGCAGGTGTAGCGGCCGCCGTCGTGGGGCTGCACACTCATGACCTGCACCCACCCGCTCACCATGAGTCTCTCTGGCCCGCCTCGTTGCTGCACGGCGATGGTCGTGTGGTCGCCTTTATATATATACAGACCCAAAAGAGCACTGTATTAAAACCCCTGTTTAAAGGTATGAGAAGAGACACAGGACAACTGTACTTGGGAGCACGAAATGACTGCCGTCTGCCCGCACTGTCTCCCACGTGATGGTGGGCACGGGCCAGCCGCGGGCCTCGCAGGCCAGGGCCGCATTCCCGTGCTGGCCCACTCGGACCTGGGGCTCAGGGCTGCTGGTGATGCTGGGGGCTGTTGACCAGGGAATTTATACAAGAGAAGGACCATTTCATCATCATCATCATCATTGTGTGTTGCGGAAATAAATTCATTCATCTATATTTAGAAACAAGGCGGCTTTTGAAGTCACTGTTTGCACCGAAAGCTTAATTGTGCATCAGTGAGATAAGAATCTGGCATGAAGGTTTTCAAGCTTCTCATAACCAAAGAAAAGTTACGTTTAGAAAAGTGAGAATACCTCAAGATCTGTCAATTGGGTCAATTTTTATATCATACAATAGAAAAGTTGAAGAACATCTTTGGCTTCAATTTGAAATATTGTGGAATTTTCTAAGTGTAAAATTTGTGGAGTTATTAGCTTTGGAAGTTTGTGCGTTGGGAATTGCGCCATAGGCAAAGCATCTTTTCTTTGCTGATTTTATTTCTTTTTGAAAGCAAGTTTTTATTGCACAATGCTGGATTTTATTTGCTGATTTTGTGTGTGATTGTTGTCTTCATGAAACCTGTGATCAGAGACAATAATGAGAGTCCTCTTTCAACATTCAAGGAGTGAGGAAGCTCCAGCTTCTCTCAATTTCTGTAGCCCTAATGTAGTTTTGTACTTCTAAATTAAATTCCCTTGGAGGCTGAAAGTTGGGCGAGGCCAGGGCCGAGTCCCAGCTGGGGGTCTACGAGGGTAACTGCCTCAGCACTCAGATGTCTCTTGCATCTGGAATGTTTTTAATGCAGCTTAAAATCTGCAATAATTGTGCATTGAATACTCAAAGATACCCAAGTGGGAAAATGGTGCACACACGGGATATGCATGTATTTTCCACACAGTGACCCTGCTGTGCACCTGAAGCGTACCAAAGTTCTTCTTCTGCACATGCATATCCCTAATGTGCACCAATTGTGTTTTCACACCAAGATTACTCAGGGTCACATTTGTAAACAAATAAGTTACACCAAGGTTACAGTTGGTGCATTTGTCTGATACTCCTGTTATGTCACATTTGTGCGCCAAATGTAGCCCTGGAATGGTAGCAAAATTTTCATCTACAGAGGTGCATGCTTGTAACCCCCCAGAATAGCCCATGGACACCAGTTTTGACCCCAGTGGAATCACACAAAGAATAGTTCCCCACTGGAGTGTGTACTTGCCTTCCTCGCATGGCCCCCATTGGGCCACAGTGAGCAAGGGATGCTGCTGCTGCTGCTGCTGCTTGTTGCTGCTTTTGTCCACATCCTCGTTGATGGAAAAAGAAGAATCTTGGAGTCCAACAACAACAGACTCTTCCCGTAATTGGCAAATGTTGTCATAGGTCTTGCCATCCGAGCCACACACGATTCTCTGGTCTGTGCACTGGCAAGTGGCTTCTCGGTCCTGATGCCAATAATAATAATTATACTTGGCATTTCACTCACTGTATCTGTATATATATATATATATATATATATATATATACAGGATGATATTTTACCCCTGGTGATCGGTTGTCGTCCCGTAGTCGGCACTCGAGGTTGTCGCCACAATCGCCAAACCTCGATGATGATGATGACTCTTGAATGGCCCTGTCCACATTCTTGGTGGCCTCATCCTCATCCTCTTCCGAGTTGTTGTTGTTGTAGTAGTCGCACTTGTCCCCCAGACTTGGGGCACACACTGTGCAACACCCGCAGGGGTCCAGAGTGAAGCCCGCCTTGCAGCCCTCTGCCGCAGGGCAGGACTCGGGTTCGCATTCCCCAGAGCACCAGTTCCTGCTGTCTCCTGCTTTTGTCTCGTCCTGGTCCTTGTATATACAGTATACATATACAGTTCAACCTTTTTAATTGGAATTTCTAGGGACCATGAAAAAAATCGACTTATAGGGAGGTTTTCATTTTTTGAGGTTTCCAGTTGAGAAAACAAACACTCTTGTTGTTAGAAGTGTAAGAAAATTATGTGGGAAATCATAAATGAGGATATTCTGGGGTACACCTTGCTGAACTTGGAGGCAGGGGTTCATTTGCTATACAGTATTTGTCTTTCAATTCCTTTCAAGATGCATCCAATTATTTGTTTTAATCATTTCATATTTCAAGAAAATACTGACCAGAAGGCCTCAGAAAATTTGACTTACAGAGGTTTTATGAAAAAGACTTTGAGTTATAAAGGTTTTTATTGAATTGATACTATGGGAATTCAGACAGGGAATTAAAAAATACCTGACTTAGGGAGGAATTCTACTTAGAGAGGTTTGACTTATCAAGGTTCACTATTATATACACAGTATTTACTCAAGTACCATGTGCCCTTGAGTAAGGCATGCATAGGGGTTTTTCAGTTGGAAATTTTGCTAAAATCTTATCCTCTAGCAAGATGAGAACCCTAATTTTTAGTGTATCTAAAACCAATAAAGTTTAAAAAAATAGAATTTAGACATGAATTGAACAAAAATCTGATCTATTTTGAACTGTTTCAGTACAAAAAAGTTTTATTGTTACATTTGTTCAACATTTCTCCATTATAATTAAGTATAAAGCACACATAACTTCCTAAAATGTCTTGAAAAATGTTACCCACTTATGAGTCATAAGTGGGTGAAATTTTTCAAGATGTTATGACAGGCACCCCTTTTTCCTCTTCTGAAATTTGAGAAAAAAGGTGCACGTGGTACTCAAGTAAATACAGTATATATATTTATATATATATATATATTTGTATCAAACAAGCAACCAAAGAAAGAAACAAAATGTCCCTCAGCATCACCACACACTCTTTAGACCACTATTAAAGCTACAGCAGCACCACCACCACTTGCAGTGATATAATACAGTACTCTACTGTGCATTTCTTCCACAAACAAGAAATGATTGAATGACTGAATGAATGAGTGAATAAAAAGCAAACCTGCGCCAATGACGAGGATGGAAGGAGGAGGAGCATCATCATCAGCAGACACGAGGACCACACAATGACTGTCGCACTCGCCACCATCTTGCCGGTAGTTTTTCTCGATCTCATCATATTATACCTTCACTATACAGTATACCTGGTGACTGATGCAGCACACGTTTAGATACGAATCTCTATACCGTATTGCACTGAACAGCTGCGGCACTCGTTGACTGATTCATTTCCCGCAATATACGAGTACATAATACAAGCATCAGTGCATCACCTGAATTACGGTATCCTAATGTATTGTCCTTCGCCTTAATGTGACGGAAGCAATAATTTACTGTACAGTACTCGACTCCAGTAAACAGTACTATATATTCACTCAACGAGTAAACAGAATCCACAGCAGCATGAAAAAGCAACACAGGTGCTGGTAATGCAAATCCGTCCTATTGTTTCATTCCTTCATTTATTTTTCGAAAGGGCTGCAACTTACTGACTATACAATATTATTGATGTACACAACGCAATAGACGATGAGCATATTGAGTAAAATCATACACGACAATCAACAAGTCCTATACAAATCATGTATAGCACCTTTTTCCCCACTCTATAGTCCATCACTTTACCCCTTGATGAATGTACATGTACACATGCCGCAAGTTGATTCTTGTGAATGAATTTCTGAATAATACACCCATGATGAGAGCCTCGTCGTCGTCGTCCTCGTCGCGATAAATAAAAAAAAATGACGACGACGACGACGAGTGAGCCTCAGCCACACCTCAGCGAAGTGCAGTAACACGTTCAGCACTGATGCTGTCGGAAGGACAGAGAAAATTCTCGTCCATTTTCTTTTCTTCTCCCTTATATACATTCCGAGTCTTGCCGAATATTACGACGCCGACAATGAACATCACAGGCAAAGGAATCATAACAAGCCAGGACACAGCACCAGCCACAAAGGAGAAGAAGAAGGATTTCAGGAAATGCACCCAAGCAGCAGCACACATAACCGAAGGAACCAACCGACCTATAGGAGACATCAGTCAACAACACACAAGGATCCTTTCCTTTCCTTTTCGCTGCACATGTGGCACTGTACTGTAATGTACTGTAGTGTGCAGTATATTTGGAGCAAGCAAGCAGGCAGGCATATAGTGAAGCAGCAGAAGCACCAGAGACGCAAACAGACAGACAGATGAGATGGGAAGAAAGAGATGGAGGTCTTGGTTTACTTTACACACCTCTGGCAGTGCGTATATATTATACAGTACAGCACACACACACATGCCACTTGATCTGCTTTTTGCAGCATGCTGACGGGTGAACCTCTCTCTCTCTCTCTCACTCTTGTTTTTCTCAGACTTGACTTGGCGGGTTCACATCCTGTTCACGACCTCTTCCTGTATACACATCAGTACCGTGCATGCTCATGTGCTGCTTCCTCTTCCTGCTGTTCCTCCACCATTATTTTCTCATCCTCAGCAGGACAATGCATAAGCATGTGTGCTGTGTATGCATGCCGGCAAGAAGAAGGGAAATCCGATACATTCCTTCTCTTCATCTTCTTCTTTTCCATTTGCAATATAAACAGAAGAAAATATTCAAAAATAAAAAAGGCCTCTTGCAAATAAAGTGCAAGGCCACAGCAGCAGTGCAGCTCACGTACAAGTACAGTATTTCAGTATATATGTTGTGAGTCTTGTATAACTTATTACACTTCCATCATTTTATCCAAATGATTATTGATACATCATCTCTCTCTCTCTCTCTCTCTTGCCTATATACTTGTAGTATAAATTGGTCATTGATTGATTGATTGATGCTCAAATTGGAATCTCTTTATCTGATGCACACTTATCCATGGAACAAATGTAGTACAGTACTATAGCAAGCATTGTATATATACCCAGCAAATAATCAGCCATTTTCCAGCCAGGCGTACAGACACAGGTGCAAATCATCTGTACATCACCAGTATTTCATGGATGGGTGGATACAGGTGGTTTTTTTGAAAAATGCTGATTTTTCATCAGCAGTTTTCCTGTCAGGCACAAGAGACACAGGTGCAAAACACCCATAAATCACCCGTTTTTCATGGATGGTTGGATATGGGTGATTTTCAGACTTTTTTCATAATCAGTGGATGTGTTGGGGGACTTTTCTAGGACTGGCACTGAGAAATGGCGCAGCTCTGTTCTCTATATGGTGCAGCTCGGTATGAGAACAGTGCAGCACTGTATGAGAACAGCGCAGCTCTGATGAGAACAGCCAGCTCTGTATGAGAACAGCACAGCTCTGTAAAAATATACATGTAAAAAATACTCTGTTCTCTATATGTTAATGATAATTCCTCCATTTATGCAGCAGAAATAAGAAAAGTGAAGAAGAGGAAGAAAGTGCTGACTGAAGGATGATCAGGACCAACATGTTTTTCTATTGCTGACTTGAGAGAGGAGCATCATCTACAAAGTCAGAAGTGTTAGTGGATCATAGAATCTGGCACATGAGCAGATGTTTGTGTACATATGCAGTGGTGTACTGTATATTGAAATCTCTAGGTCATCCCATGATGGATGCTGCAACGTATTCAAAATTGCTGTTTATTCCTCTATACATATGGCATACAGTATAAGGAGCCCTCACAGCAATGAAACAGTTGGGATACATACAAGCAGCCAGCAGTCATCATCAGTCTGGTATTTTTCAAGGCCTGCATTTACTGAAAATTCACCACTTTACAGCATGTGCATATTGTGGTTCTCTGAGTTGAACAATGAATAATGTAGTTAAAAACTTCAAAGTTGTAGAACAAAAATTGTAACTTGTAGGATGAAGTGCTGCAAATTGCTTCTGCAGCTAGAAATTGACTAGGGTTTACTTCTATGAATGCAGTCTCAAAATGTAATAATGCTCAGTGGGGACTGAAAGAGAAACATTTTTGTTGTTGTAAACTGACATTTTTGGATGTTTTGATTTTGTGTAAATTAACAGCTTATTATTAACAACTGATTTTTAAGTTGTTAAAAATCAGTGTTTTCCAGGCAATTTCCAAGCCATATGATGGCACATTGAAATTCCCTTAGGTGTACCAGGGTTCATTAAGTATGAGTAGCATTTCCATGAATGAGAAAGTTCTCATTCATTTGGGTCAGGTGTGTAGTTGACAAAAATTACCTGCAGAAGACAGTTTCTCAACTTATTATCTTCATCACTCTCACTTTTCATAATTTTGTACATTCCGCACAGGATTGAGAGATGCAACAGTGTGTCCTTGTTACAGAAATTTGCATGACTATCAGGCTTGCATGGCCATGGGGAAATTGGTGCACACTGGGGATATGTTTGCATTTCTACACAGTGACCCTGCTGTGCACCTGAAGTGTACCAAAGTTCATCTCTATATGTTAATGATAATTCCTCCATTTATGCAGCAGAAATAAGAAAAGTGAAGAAGAGGAAGAAAGTGCTGACTGAAGGATGATCAGGACCAACATGTTTTTCTATTGCTGACTTGAGAGAGGAGCATCATCTACAAAGTCAGAAGTGTTAGTGGATCATAGAATCTGGCGCATGAGCAGATGTCTGTGTACATATGCAGTGGTGTACTGTATATCAAAATCTCTTTGTCATCCCATGATGGATGCTGATGCACCTTATTCAAAATTGCTGCTTATCCCTCCATACATATGGCATACAGTATATGGAACCCTCACAGCAATGAAACAGTAGGGATAGGTACAAGCAGCCAGCAGTCATCATCAGTCCGGTATTTTTCAAGGCCTGCATGTACTGTACATGCACCACTGTACAGCATGTGCATGTTGTGGTTCTCTGAGTTGAACAATAAATAATGTAGTTAAAAACTTCAAAGTTGTATAAAAAAAACGGTAATTTGTAGGATGAAGTGCTGCAAATTTTAATACAGTATTCTGGAAAATTGATTCTGCAGCTAGAAATTGACTAGGGTTTATTTCTATGAATGCAGTCTTAAAATGTAATAATGCTCAGTGGGGGCTGAAAGAGAAACATTTTTGTTGTTGCAAACTATGAAATTTTTGGATGTTTTGATTTTGTGTGAATTAACAACTTATTATTAACAACTGATTTTTAAGTTGTTAAAAATCAGTGTGTTCCAGAGTTCCAGGCAATTTTGCTTCTGATGGCACATTGAAATTCCCTTAGGTGTACCAGGGTTCATAAGTATGAGTAGCATTTCCATGAATGAGAAAGTTCTCATTCATTTGGGTCAGGTGTGCAGTTGACAACAATTACCTGCAGAAGACAGTTTCTCAACTTATCTTCATCACTCTCACTTTTACATTCTGCACAGGATTGAAAGATGCCACAGTGTGTCCTTGTTACAGAAAGTTGCATGACTATCAGGCTTGCATGCCCATGGGGAAATTGGTGCACACTGGGGATATGTTTGTATTTCTACACAGTGACCCTGCTGTGCACCTGAAGTGTACCAAAGTTCTTCTGTTGTGGCACATGCTTACATGGAAATGCCTAATGTGCACCAATTGTGTGTTCACACCATGATTACTCATGGTCACATTTGTAAACAAAAAAGTTACACCAAGGTTACAGTTGGTGCCTTTGTGTGATACTCCTGTTAGGTCACATTTGTGCACCAAGTGTAACCCTGGAATGTTAGCAAAATTTCCTCAACAGGAGTTCACACTTTTAAACCCAGAATATCCCATATGCACCAGTTGTGACCCTGGTGCGCACCTACTGTGGGGTCACTGCAAAAATAGCTCCCCACTTGGGATGGATAAACCAAACAGTTGTGCCATGACTGCCATCATTCATTAGATGGGTTATGGAGATTTGATGATCTGATGAAATTGTTCAAAGTGGGTAGATGTTGCTCCAAGTTATGATTGAACTTGGTTCAATGTACCTGATACAAAAATGTCCGGTTTCAAGCAGTACGTGCATTCCTTCTATTATACGCAATTATTTTACACTGTTGTCCCATATTTTCCAAGGGACTAAAACACGCAAAAAATGCCAACTCGAGCATTGCGCGGAAATCTTTTGAACAGAAATCAGGGTCATCATCATGAATTTGTTCAAACTTATTTTGTTCTTCCTTACGCTTATCAGATTTGAAAGAATTTCGCGCAATATCGATCGATTTCATTGTATTGGCTTGAAAAGTGGATTTTTGCGGCCTCTGTCGCTTTACGCCATCAGAAGAACCATCGAGTGTCGTTTGTCCGGCCACAGATG